ATATTACATTCCTGATTCTACGAGCCACCTTTGTACCACGCCCCTCAAGGCAAGCCCAAACAAGTCCATGTTAGGGTCTTAAATTCTTAGTTCTCACACAAAAATAATGATTTTATAATTTTAATTGCTTTTTAAAAAGTTATTTTATTAGGATGAATGAATGAACAACATTAGAAAAGCGTGGAATTTTCAAAAGGCACACACCTGGGCTGAGGCGCATGCCTAGGCGCACCAGGCATGCGCCTTTTGAAAGGGCCGTGCCTAGGACCTAGGTGAGATGCATACCCTAAAATGCGCCTTGCCTGTAGGCCTAGTCACGTCTTTTAAATCACTAGGTAATATAGGGAAGATAAATATAGCTTTGTTGGGTAAATGGTTGTGGAGGTGGCTATTGGAGAGGGATAGATAATGGCATTTGGTAGTTGAAAGTGTACATAGGCAGATTGGCAATGGTTGGGAATTTGGGATGCTAGTGTATCTTAGCGGGTTACATTGGCTTCTCCTTGGAAGGTTGTACTTGGAATTCTTCCTCAGTTTTAAAGCCTTATCAGATATGATACGTTTGCTGGAGATAAAATAATTTGCTAGGAAGATGCTTGCATTGGCAACTCTGCTCTTAAAGACCACTTTCTGTCCTTGTATTCCCTTCATTCAAAAAGAACATATTCAAAGGTTTGTTTCCTTCTCCCCATTGACTGTTATTAGTTGGGATTTGGGCTTTAGAAGAGATTTGAGAGATATGAGCTTGATTGGGTTGCCTTGCTGTTAAAATCTTTGGGTTCTATTTTTTTTTAGATCATTTATAACTAGACAGTTGGGTTTGGACTCCTCACCCTAGGGGTATCTTCTCATTTGCTTCCTTTTTCTCTTGTTTTCTATTCCTACCTCTCAACCCTTCCCTTCTAAAGAAATTTGGTCTAGATCCGTCACACCCAAGGTTTGAACTTTTTTGTTGGAAAGTCTTTCTTGGGAAGGTAAATGCTTTGGATAACCTTCAAAAAAGAAGACCCTTTCTTTGCATCTCCCAAACTGGTTTTTACTTTGCAAAGCTAATGGTGAGCTGTTACTACCTTCTAACCTTTTGTCATTTTGTTGCAGGCATTTATTTGGAAAGGCTTTTTGTTTTGTTTGGGTGTAGGTGGAATATGCCTTTGTAGATTAGTGGTTTATTTAACCATGTGACCTTTGTTTATTCTAAGTAGAGGAGTAGAATCTTGTGGAGACATGGTAGTGCTGCTTTAGTTTGGATGGTTTGGGAGGAGAGAAATTCTAGAATCTTCAATGAGAAAGAGATGTGGAGGTAGTTTGGGATTGTATTTTAAATAGGGCTTTATATTGGGCTAAAACTTTGGACATATTTTTCCACCTTTCCTTTGATGATATGAGGTGGAATTCGATTGCTGTACCAAAGAGTAGAAATCTGCAAAGAAAAGAAGAGTTTCTTGTGGAAGAGAAAGAGAAGAGAAGAAGTTGAGAAAGAAAGAGAAGAGAAGAAGTTGAGAAAGAAAGAGAAGAGAAGAAGTTGAGAAAGAAAGAGAGAGCAAATCAGATCTGGCCTTCCTCTCCCATTGGTATTTATACTTTAAGTAAAAAATATGTACGATGACTAATATGCCTCTATAGGGTGGATTACACATAAAACTGCACAAAAAACTTAAAAACATCACTCCAAAGGGTTCCAACAAGAGTGCTGTGGTTTCTACTTATCTAAACAAATAATAAACAAAAACAACTAACGAATTCTGCTCAAAATCTTTAACACTCCCCTTCAAGTTGGGAGTAAATGGCACAAAGGTGTATACCCCTGATGTGGATCTCCTGTCATCTAGACAACCTACCCAGTCTGCATCTGTATAGGACTCCAATTTCAAATTCCCATGATTTGAGAATAGAATTCCTCTGCCTGGATGCTTCTTTAAGTATGCAAGTATCTTATCAATGGCTTCCCAGTGCTAAACCCAAGGAGCATGCATATATTGGCTCACAAAACTAACAACATAGGAAGTGTCTAGGCGTGTCATACATAAATATAGTAGCCAACCTACCATCCTTTGATATCTCCCAACATTCTTAACCAACTCACCATCCAAATTATTAATCATGTGGTTTGAGTGAATAGGAGTATTAGTTGGTTTAACTCCTAGTTTCCCAATTTCTTGCAGTAGGTCCAACACATACTTCCTTTGAGAGATGAATATCCCATGCTTGGATCTTGTAACCTCAATCTCCAAAAAATATTTTAGTTCACCTAGATCATCTATCTCAAATTCCTATTGCAGCTAAAGTTTGAAATTTCGATACATATTGGGCCATACGTATAGTATCGGGGGCTTCCCGATACACCCCTATAGGGGGTGTTTCGTGGTTTAACCTAGTTTAGGGGGTAGATAGGCCTTAAACTGACCCCTCTGAACCAGGTTTAAAAAAACTAAAAAAAATGGAGAAATCAACTTTGGTACAGGTTGATATGCGGACGCCCCTACCGGTGTATCAGCCGTATCAATATTTTGAACCTTGGCTCTAGTGACTTCTTGAGTGCATCAATCTTCCTCATATCATTTCCTATAACAACCATATCATCTACATACACAATTTGTATTGACACAAGTGCTTCTCTCCTCTTTTTTTTTTTATTTTATTTTGATCAATACTTGAAGATTTTTTTGATGAATAATAATAAATTTATTGATTCAGAAACAAATTTAGAGTGAGTTCATACATCATCCCAGCGAGAGGCGCGAGCTGTAGCCCCTCCTTGAATTTTACAAGTAAACTAGGAAAGAAAAACAAGAATCACAACTGAGCCCA